ATCCTGTATAATAATAATAATAATTTATTTTGATTCTACCATTCTATTTTGGACTGAGTGGAGTTTCTTGACTCCTGTCGACTGAAAACCACATTCACTGCCGAATAATAACCACATTCACTGTTAGAATTCGGCTCTACCAAGAAAACATTTCCATCCCCCTCCTTCCATTTTTTTCATTGGTCCTGCGGTTGAAAACAATCGTCGATTTGCCCCCATTAAATACAAACAAACATTCTGAAAATTAAGTATTTTGAAGAAAATTCTCCTGTTGTGCGGCCGGCTTTACAGTTTGCAGAAGTTCTGAAATATCATGGCAGCAGAAAACATTTCTCCAGGAACTCAAGCTGGTCAATCACGCCAACACATGCCATGGCGCTTATACTGTGATCCTGCGGAAGGGAGGAGCAGCCAGAGACTCTTTGAGATCCCAGAAGCTGCAATTAGGAATTTCAGAGTTTCCAACAATTTCTGTGAAAGGAGTAAAATTGGGCAGATAGCGTGTATGTAAAAAAAATGTCCTTTACGAAATGTATACTGAGAGACATATAAAAATCTCATTTGTGACCACTACTTCTAGAAATGCAGTTTGCCTGGCTGTCATGCTGATTCACAGCCAGCAAGGTATTCAATACCTTAAGGCCAGGTTCACGCAATCCCGAACAGCGGTTGCCACGCGGTCCCACTGATTTCAATGGGGCCATATCCGTGCCGCAATCGCTTAACAAAGGTACATGTACCTTTCTTAGCGACACGCGGTTTTTCCAGCTGCGATCGTGTGCAATTGCACGGGGGAATCGCGGCAATCTGTCTGCCGCCACTGTGGTGCCATTAGAAAAGAATGGTACCGCCAGTGCGATCAGCAATGGTGTGCGATTCCGCGGCCATCCGCACGGTTTCGTGCACAATTGCCTCGCGGTCACGGATCGCCTAAGTGTGAACCGGACCTGAATCGCTGATCAAAATGGTTGGTTTTACTGACTTTTGCTGGCTGCGTGCTTGTTTTGGATCACTGACTCAAAACACACTGAACTTAGGCTGGCCATACACTGTTTTTTTCCGTTCAAAGCGTAGACTGATAAAAAATAGAACAGCGTCCCAGTGGCGTCACAAGGGAGGTGCAGCCAGCACCCGGGTGACACTATTGGAGGGGTGACACCAAAATGAATGACAGTCATTTTGGTGTCACCCCCTATGAAAAGTCGGGCACTCGGTCATGGACTGAGAGCCCGGCAGTTGCTCAAGAGAGGAGGGGACCCGGCGGCATATCTTATTTCGCCGGGTGAACGTTCCCTCCTCTCTCTGCCGGCGTAAATCACCAAGATGGCCACCAGAAGGTATTAGCCCTCCTTAGGTGCTGACAGCGGTACATGTGCAAATTTCTTCATAAGGAACCAGCCAAAGTTTGCATAGTGTATGGCCAGCTTACAGGCAAATGTTATTTTCGGAAGGTAAACAATGGAAGCTTTCACATTTCCCTCAGTATTGGTTCCCTTGAAATGCTGATCTCCCCACAATAAATGCTGCCACCCATCCTCCAGTGAGCGGTGTTGATAAGAGCCTGGGGATATAGGGAGCAGATCCTTCCTCCCTTTGCTTTGTTTCCTCAATACACATAACAGTAGGAGGCAAATTCAACCTCAAAAAACCTGAATTCCAGGTAGGGGGTACATTTGCATGTGCCCCCCCCACCCCTCCAGTGCTGCACTTGGTCCTAAAGTTACCCTTCTTCAGTCCCAAGCACTGTCACATGGTGTGACTCAATCCCTATTCCAATACCGTCTTTCAGGAAGCAATGGATCAAAACTTTTATAGTGAAGCTCTCGTTAGTACTGCCGAATGTTTGTCATATCCGATGTACAAATCGCCTCGTCTAATTGTCATCTCCTGCTTCACTTGGTGGTACTAGCCACTTCATTAGGTAGGGGTAGGCAAACCTCTGCACCCCAGCTGTGGTCAGACTACCAGTCCCATCATGCCTCGGCCTCTGGGAGTCATCCCTTCTGCTGTCAGAGTCCTGCAATGCATCATGGGACTTGCAGTTCCACAAGAGCTTGGAGAGCTGAGATTGGGTTAGAGCCACACAGCAGATTTTCAACAGATCAATCCTGCTACTGAAATTGCTAGCCACTGAAGCTGAACTCTGTTGAAATGTAAATACTGCCTAGTGGGGCTTCCTCGGCATTGCAAGGGTTAAGGGCCCGTTCACACCTATTCCAGTGCGTTCCAGCAGCTAACCACTCTGGGACACACTGGATCACATACTTTCCAGCTCCTTGTGTCCTCCCGCCCGTAGTGCAATCGCCCGCACAAGGATGCGTGGCACAGCAATGCCCATGTTCCAGTCCAGTGTGATTGCAAAAAAATAGTGCAGGGGGGAGGAATGGCTATGGTGCCCTTGACTTGAATGCACCGTCATGCCCTGTCCTGCCCCAGAACACAGGGAGCAGTCGCCTGCACCAGAATGCGTGGCACAGCAATGCCCGTGTTCCAGTCCTGGGGGGGTGTCTATGGTCCCATTGACTTAAATGCACCGTCACGCCACGTCCGTGCGGGTGTCCGTACTCGTACGGACCTGTCTGAATCCTGTCTGCATCCGAGCCGGGACACCCGCACCCGTATGGACCTGCACTTGGGGTGAGCGTAGGGCGGCGTACAGCCGCATACTCCCATTGAGAAGGACAGGGGCTGTGTACTAATCACACGGAGCAACTGTCCTTCCCGGGAGCTGACGGATACGGCCGTGCACGCAGCACTGAGCTGTACGTGCCAGCCGTTTCTCGTGTGAAAAGAGATGGGACAAATGGTTCCAAGTGGAGTAAGCTACACAAGAAGCATGTGGTAACAATCAATCCCATATGGACGCACAATGCTGCAATCACGTGTAACTGACCAGCACAAGATGCCATTCCATACGGAGCGATTGGTTCTTCCTGTGCTGTGGCCAAACGCTTCCATGTGTGGTTATTCGCTGCCGTGATCGAGCTACTAAATATCACCTTTTTTTGTTGCGCAATTTTGTGTCTAGCATTCCACAAAAACTCTCAAGTCGAGAAATAAAAACAAAAACACTTCTGCCCAAGGGTGAATTCAGGCGACACATCAAATGCGAAGGAAAAACGCGCGTCTTCCTGGCCGTGTTTGGGGTGCTATTAATAATAATTTTTATTTTATTTTGTGCGTTTCACTAACGCTCATTAAAGCGCACAGTGTTATGCAAGTTTGGCGCACGTTAAGAAAATGCTCAGGTGTAAATGGAGCCTTATACACAACTGAAAATAATGTTTGCATACTAAGCAAGATTCACGAGGCGTAGCGGGGACGCGCATTGCGCGAACGCATCTTCCCGTACCTCTGCAGGACGTTGTTTCCCCTGTTTGATGCGCGTCCCCATTGGGTCCCCAGATGCGTGCCAACTGCGGAAAGAAAGCACACCTGAATTGGCGTTGTTGCTGATCGTGATGTTTACTTTGTTCTTATCTTTTTAATGTGTTTTGTTTTCTTGAAAGCTTTATAAAACATATTAAAATGGCTGCACGTCGCAAACTTGGCGCGACCGCGTGGAGAAAAATAAAACGGGTTTGCTCGGCCACGTTACGGGTGCCATCACCTGGAAATGGCAACACAAGCACCAGGGCGTATTGTGAATGTGCATCACACATGCACACTTCAATGCGCATACACGATACGTGATATGTGCATGTATCAAGTACGCACGTTGAAGCGTGCACGTGTGACGCACATTCACAATATGCCCTGGTGTGAATGGAGGGCCTCATTGAGTAAAATAAAAACAACGTAACGCGTCAAAAACACGTATAACCATGCATGCGAAAACGCATGCTGGTTGCGCGGATTATGATGTGAATAAGCCCTGATAGGTCAGACTTGTAATCTCATTAGACCAGAAACCCTCCTCAGCAGGATCCTGTGCCCCTTCCCTGCCCCCATGGGGGTAATGAGTGACCCTAGATTGCCAGCAGAGACCTCAGCAGCCCGGTGCCCCTGCCCTGCCCCCATGAGGTAATGAGTGACCCTAGATTATCAGGCAAGACCTCTGGCAGTCCTGTGCCCCTGCCCTGCCCCCATGGGGGTAATGAGTGACCCTAGATTGCCAGCAGAGACCTCTGGCAGCCCTGTGCCCCTGCCCCATGGGTGTAATGGATGACCCTAGATTAGCAGGAGGGACCTCTGGCAGCCCTGCCCCCATGGGGGCAATAAGTGACCCTGAATTACCAGGAGGGACCTCTAGCAGCCCTGTGCCCCTGCCTTACCCCCATGGGACTAATGAGTGACCCTAGATTACCAAGAGGGACCTCTGGCAGCCCTGTTCCCCTGCCCCCATGGGTCTAATGAGTGACTCTAGATTACCAGGAGGGACTTCTGGCAGCCCTGTGCCCCTGCCCTGCCCCCATGGGGGTAATGGGTGACCCTAGATTACAAGGAAGAACTTCTGGCAGCCCTGTGCCCCTGCCCCCATGGAGGCAATAAGTGACCCTAGATTACCAGGAGAACCTCTGGCAGCCCCGTGCCTGTGGATTACCGGAGCAGAATGAGGCACAGGCAGCGATCTGCTGTGCAGAGATAAAACCTAAATCCTGCAAGCCAGAAAAAAGGAGTGCCTAGGCACAGCAGGGTGGCCCTGTGGCTGGGTCACATGCTCACCTGAACGGGGAGGAGGGGAGAGGTGGATCTTTTGCACAGGAAAGAAAATATTTCCCAACAAACACTTATTTGCAAACAAGTATCAGCTCAGGAAGATCCCCTCCCCCCGGACTGGAAGCAGGAAGACACTTTGCTGCCCGTTCCCGGGACTTTCTCTCCATGCTGCCGAGCACGGGGTGCCGTCCTACCTGCGGAGCCGCGCTGACGCCCATTGACATGCCGCAGGGGGAAAGTTGCTACCGATCGCTGGGAGTAGCCGCGCACCGGGTGTAAGGGATAAGTCGGAGCCGACCCGTAAAGAAGCTTCGCCGGACTTCCAGTGCATGGGTCTGTGCTGAGCGCGCTACGGCCATGGGAGGCTGCATGGGACGACCGCAGGGGGAGAGCCCGAGATCCCAGTCCAGGGCCTCCGGTCACCCTCGGAAGAGAGCAGGTAGGTGGATCTGTATCGGGCGATGCTGTACACGATGTAGCCGCCCGGGGGCGCTATCGGGGGGATTATCTGCCCCCCCCACAAACAATTCCCTTTGTATCAAAGTATCCGATGTATATACATTGTATCTGTAAGGGGAGCCGCTTTATGCTCCAGGATTACATAGCATGGGGGAGGGTTGGGTCAGCTTTATAATGAGGAGGGGCCCTTTAAATCACTTTCCGGGGTCTTGTGATGATGAATATATCTCCAGATTGCCCCACATTAGTGTGATGGACCCCAGGAAGAACGATCCTTCCATCTGTGGGCATTGGGAAGATCCCCCCCTTCTGAAGCTGGTCCTACGCTGCGCAATCTGGTTGTACGGTCAACGGTAGGCTGGTCCTATGCTGCGCAATCTGGTTGTACGGTCTCCAGCAGGCTGGCCGTACCCCTGGCAATCTGGTTGTACGGTCTCCAGCAGGCTGGCCGTACCCCTGGCAGTCTGGTTGTACGGTCTCCAGCTGGCTGGCCGTACCCCTGGCAATCTGGTTGTACGGTCTCCAGCAGGCTGGCCGTACCCCTGGCAGTCTGGTTGTACGGTCTCCAGCTGGCTGGCCGTACCCCTGGCAATCTGGTTGTACGGTCTCCAGCTGGCTGGCCGTACCCCTGGTTGTACGGTCTCCAGCAGGCTGGACCTATGCTGTGTAATCTGGTTGTACAATCTCCTTTTAGATCTACCAACATTTATGTAGTGCAAGGTCCCGCCTGATTGGATATAAATTGAATGGATTGTTTACATTGCCTGTATATTTTATCGTTTACGTTACTCTAAAGAAGATTGTGTAGTGTGTGGTCGGCTTTACAGATCATTGGTGTTTGTGGTTTTTTTTTGCTTTCTAAAGATTTCTGCTAACTTCCTGTTGTGTCTCAGGGACAGGAAGTAAAGGGAAATCTCCCCAATGGTACACTGCAAATAATATTACCTAGTAGTGGTTTTAACCCTTCCCTGTGCTGTCCAGAAGTAAATAAGGTTGTGGCTCTTCATACACTTTCAGGCCAGGCTTGCACCGTTTTCCGGAGCAGATCTGGAATACGATGCTTTGCGTTTTTACAGCAATTTTACTAGGAAGGCACCGATACCTGTAACAGTGCCGATACGGAGTATTTGGGCGAGTACTCGCACTCCCTCAAATGCTCCGATGTCTAGCCCGATATTTCCATATCGGGCTTCCATATCAGGAAGTGTAACGACGCTCTGCCCGGCTTCCTGATTGGCCGGGAAGCTGGCTCCATGCTCTCTCGTCACTTGTGACGAGAGAGCATGGAGCTGGCTTCCTGATTGGTCAGGAAGCCAGGCCCCTGCGTCATTACACGGCGCCCGGTTTCCATGATTGGCCAGTAAGCCTGCTCCATGCTCCCTCGTCACCTAGTGACGAGAAGCATGGAGACGGCTTCTTTGCTAATCGGGAAGCCGGGTGGCGAGACTTTACACGCCGTCTGACTTCCTGAATGGGATAGGGATAATGAAAGGGAAACATTGGGATGCTTTTTTTTTGGGATCGGGAACAGACTGCTCTGGACATGATCCGCACTTGGTGTGAACAAGCCCTCAGAGGCTCAGGGCAGGAAACCGATGTTACAAAATGATCTACAGTGTTTTCCAAACACGACCCGTTATTGTGCAAACAGCAGAGTTTGTAAACGCCGCAGAGATCTGACCGTCGCCATTAGTGTCCACAGACTGGTTCTCTTTATCTTGTTTTCTTTTTCTTTTCTTTAAAGTAGAACTATGAGGTGAGTGCTTTTCAACCAAGCGTTGTCAGCCTATAACATGAACTGCCTGAATGCCGATTTCTTATGGGTTGCTAACTTTATCCATTTTATTAATAGACTATTCTACTTAAGGTTTGATCACATGCTATGACGTACCTGGCGCATGATCCAGCGAATTGACCACATGGGGCCTAATGTGAACACTTCGTCACTGTAGCACTTTTCAGCACATTGTGGTTCGTAGACTTGAATGAAATGTTGTTTTGTGATGCTACAATAAAACGGGATACAAAAGTAAACTGTGTGATGCATTGTAACAAAGTATCGCACCACCCAGATGCAGTTTACTCTGCGTTTTAGGGCCCAGTCACACTAGTTGCAGTGCGTTCCGGCCCGATTCTGTCCTAAACGCACTGCCTCGCATTACGGCCGGCTCACCTTTTTGCCGGGTAACGGGGGGGGCGCGTGGAAGCTGTGCCATTGAATACATGAGTAAATGTAATGTAAGGGCCTACTTGTGCGAAATGTTACTTATTATAGACATTTTAAAGAGCGCAGTCAGTTTACACAGCAGTTTGCATACTGCACATTCAGTTCCCGCCCCTTAAGAAGCTTACACTCTAAAGTTTCTAACACACACACACGCACCAATTATCCTACCAGCATGTTTTTGGCATGCCAGAGGAAGCCTGCACAAGGAGAACATGCAAACTTCATGTAGATTGCATCCTGACTGCGGATCAAACTTAGGACCCCAGTGCTGCAAGGTGGAAGTGCTAACCACTGAACCCCTGTGCTACTCTCTACTACAATTCCCGCTCACCAGCCGTGGTGAAACCTACAAATGCCATCATGCATCTGCCTCTGGGAGTCGGGCCTGTGGCTGTCAGTCTTGCAATGCCTCATGGTACAGTACTTGTAGTTCCGCAACAGCTGGAGGGCCAGAGTTGCCCACCCCTGCTGTAATACCTAGGTAGACCCTCGCACTACGTTGTTGTTGGTAAAGTTGAAGAAGTTTTGAGTGTATTTGGTTGTTTCTAGGACAACATGTAGCTAGGGCCGTCTTTAGCATGGCAGCTTAGGGGTTTGTTGTTCCATAGCACAGATCCTGTTTGTAATATTATCTATAGGTGAATCCCTAGTATTGAGAGTACAGGAAGCTTTGCTGCAGCCATACATAGAACTTGATAATGACATTTTCTTTAAAAACTCTAAATTCTACTTCAGCAGCATAGATTGAACTAGAGAAGCAATGTCAGGAACCTGCTCTGCATATGTATGTGTTGCACACAGTATATGTATCTGTTGCATACATAAACTGTGGCATATTTGGGCATGCACTTGGTGTGAAGGTCCAAAGAGGGGAGGCAGGAGGGGACACAGTGGGGGTGACATCTCAGGGCACGGTGTGGGCTCCCAGCAGGGCCCCAGACAACACAGGAGAGCAGAGAACGGAGAGCGGGAGGCGGGGCCGAGTTGATAGTGGGCGGAGCCCAGAGCCATGTCTATGGTGCTGTATGTAGCCTCCTGTCTGTAGAGCACTGATGCTGTGTACACAGACTGGAGGCAAGGCTGGTGCAAGCCCCATTGCCTACACAGGTGGGGCTGCCAGCCCTGCATGTGTTTATCTTATGTGGGCTGAAGGGGCAGCTGCTTTGGGCCCCACAACAATGATTGGGCCCTGGGCGACTGCCCCTCTTGCCCTGCGTTAAAGACGGCCCTGCATGTAGCACACAATGTACAAGCTTCTTATTGTCTGAACATTGGTGTATGCTCGTCTCTTCTTAACCTGCTATTAGCAGGTCTGTGTCTTGAGGTGGGCCTTAGAGTGAATCTGTACTTTGCCCATACAGGATGTAGGTTAGTTTAGTGAATAACTGTCCTTTGCAGTAGGGATGCACCGATACAGGTTTTTCAGTATCGAGTACGAGGACCGTTACTTTGCATCCTGTACTCATCAATACTGAGTATCGATACCGGTGGTTCCACTGGCATGGAGCCGACTTCCGGGCCAATCTTCCCGAGAAGCCGGCTCTATTTGGCCGGCTTGATTGTGCTTAGCTGGGAAACCCGCTTCCCGGCCAATCAGGAAGCTGGGAGGTGTGTCATTACTCGCCGCACAGCTTTCTTTGAGCACAGGAAGCTGGCTCCATGTTCCCTTATGACACTACCGGTCAGAGGAAATCTTCCTCTGACCAGAAGTTCCGGTATCGGGGGAAGATATTGGAGCATTTGGGCATGTACTCGCCCAAATACTCAGTATCGGCACCGATACTGGTATCGGTGCATCGCTACTTTACAGCATTACGTGCACTTAAATCGGTGGTGGGAGCAAGCATGACCATGGGAATTTCTGCATTTGTGTGCAATGGTCCTCTAACCTTTCCATATACTGGTCAACTTTTCATAGGAACGTGCATATCAAAAATCTCATCGGAAAATTTGATGTCATCAGAGACTTGACGAACGTTTTTCGAAATTTTGGTTGATTTTAACACAATTTTTGAATGAATGGAGCTTCCTGGGTGGAAACTACATTCACGTGTCCCAGTTGTCAATGGAGCTGGCTCCTGAAATAAAAAAAAATCCTGCTGGCTCTTGATTTCCATATATTATTTTTTTTTGTCCCTAGGTTTTGAAAACAAGTGTCAATTTGACGCCATTAACTATTAGAAAATCAAACGCATGTTCTGAAAACATTTTTTCAAACAAAATTCTTCTGGTGTATGGCCAGCTTTACTGTGACTTTATTGCACACAGTTGTGGTCACGGTGGATGGATAAGGGCGCAGGAAAGATTGACCTCCTACCAGCAATCACTGTCAGTTACCTAAAAAGCTGGTTAGGCTTCTGATCAAACATGAAATCAAAACGTCCCCCCTGTCATGGGAGGGTAATGGGTAGAGGTTGAATAGACCTTTATGTGAGTGGATGTCTTCATAAACAGCCAAATTCTTGTGCTTGACAATTGTTCAGTTGGTGAAACCTTCAGACTCCTTTTACAAGTATCTTGACCATGAGCTTCGATTCATGTGATTGGCTGAGATAAGACTTGAGTGTCAGTGCCATACTTCAAGTAGATATAAGAATGTGTTTGTGTACTGTTTCTAAAGATATAACCTTTGTTCTATGATGTAAGCAGTTTCTCCTGAATATTTAAAGCTGGAACACACACACACACACACACACACACACACACACACACACACACACACACACACACACACACACACACATATATAATTT